GAAAAATGTTGGAAATGTCATCAGACACCTGGCTCATATTACCATATGTGGTGGACTTGTGCGGATGCTAAAAAATACTGGACTAAAATCCACATGTGGTTGGAAAAAATGACAAAAGAACATATAGACTTGAAACCAGAGATATTTTTATTGGGAATTTTACCTGAAATATATAGTAAAGACTTGAAATACCTGTTTGTAAATGTATTAACAGCGCCTAAGATTGTATTTGCTAAAAACTGGAAAAATGAGAAAATGCCATCACAGGAGGAAATCATTAAGAAAATATTGGAATGTGCTGAAATGAGTAGATTGACATTTGAAATTAGAGAACAAGAGGATAAACAATTTTATAAAATTTGGGATCTTTTCTATCAATGGTTAGACAATAAAATACAGTAATGAAATATGTAGACTTTTAGAAAATAATATATAAAGATGTACTTCTTTCTTATTATATCTACAAAATGATTTTAGGATAGATTTGGGATGATAATATGAACTGTTACAAAATAAACTAAGTAAATTATGATTATCTTATAAAACATGAATGAATAAAAGTATAGTCAAATGATTAATAATGATACTAAGGTGTTTAATTTTTGATTGACAATATGAGATTATATGCAAGGGAATTGTAATTGAAGACTACGAAATGGAAGCACAAAACAATTTGTAAACCAACCAGCACGCTGTATGTACAGCTATGGAAGAAAGCTTGATGTTTTTATGTTTTGTTTGTTTATGTTTGTTTTTAAAAACCAATAAAATTTATTTTTAAAAAAAGAAACCGTTCTATTTGAAACCAGAGTCTGGTGATAACCGTTATAAAATGGGCAAACATCTAAATCAATTTCAGTCAATTGCAGGTGTATTTGTTTGTACCTAACAATGGACGTATTCTGCGGTGTTGAGTTAGCGAAGAAGAGCGTAGACAGCTTAACGGGTCCTTCCTCGCTTCACTTGGTTTCCTTGTAGCAACAACTCACTCGCTTGATTCCTACGGTGTTCATAAAACACTACATCTCCCAGCAAACACTGCTTCTTGGTGGGTAATCATAGAGTTATATTACAGATTGACGCAGCAAAGTCGAAGGGGAGGAAGTGAGACAAGCAGTTTCCAGTGGAAATAAGGCCCTGTGATTCCGGCCGGCGTGAGTGAGCGGGTTTGGATTTTAAGATGGCGGCTGCGGCGGGATTGGAGTTCCAGCGCGCCCAGTCTTTACTGAGCACCGACCGCGAGGCCTCCATCGGCATTCTGCACTCCATAGGTGAGTTGGGCCGGCCGAAAAGGGGAAAACCGGCAGGTAAATCTGGCTGCCGATGGTGGAAAGGGATAGATGATGGGCCTGGACGGGTTAGGCTGGAACCGCTGCTGACTCACTGTGTGCAACTCCGAAGGAAATCGGCAGCACCGGGGAAGGAGGAATTCGGAAATGGGAACGCTTAGTAGGAAAGGCCTCTATATTCAGCATCGCTTCTGTAGGGAAACGGAGAAAGCAAGTGGGGATTGGAAAACGGGAAACGCGGGGGATTGAGCCGAGGCAAAGGTTGAGGCTGGCAGGTGGCTTCAGAGCACCAGGCGGACTCTCTGACTTGTCGCCTTGGCTTTTATTCAGAAGAGGCGACTTAAAAGTTAGAAGGTAAACCTGGCGGATTTGCCCTCCAGGAATGGGTTCTGCTGCCGCTTTTCAAATACTTTGTAGCCCTTGCCCTGACTGCTTTGTAACTTCCTAAGAGGGCAGTCGGACCTGCTTCATTCATCCCATGTCACTTTTTCGGATCTCCGTTCGAAGGCCTTTTTCTCTGGCGCTAAAAGGTAAATGAGTGGGTGACAGTATACAGAGCCACTTGGAAAGAAACATGTACGAGCTTCTGAAATATAGGTTGATTTTCTGATATGAGTGGAAAGTGGATACTTGGTCACAGTTAATACCTAAAGGGCTACATTGCACTTGCTTTACTAGTGGTTTAATATGTTCATCATTCAATATTTATATCACTAGTTTTGACAAGCAGATGGAGTACATGATAATACATTTTATACGCTGTGAAAAATTTCACTTGTTGGTTGTAGAAAGTCAAGACACTATTGGTAAGTGTAAAATAATATACTCTGAATGTTTTATTGATTCACTTTTAGTTGGGATTTTCTTGTTAGGTAAATAGTTTGCTTAATAGGATTGTCCTGTTACAGAAAGGAAAAGGGGAAGCATGCTCTTAAGTGAAACTGAAGTGACTTTTTAAGGAGATGGGATGTTATATGGTCCAGGGATGGCATTAAGAAGGGTAATGTGAAGAGTAAGAATGACGGGTCTAAAAAGGGCTAAATTGGATATATATATAAAAAAAGACAAAGCAACATGAGTAAAGCTTTTGGTGTAGTACATTTTAAATGTTACTGATTTTCCTGTAAAGGTATTTCCAGTTACAGTTTGTCATGTTCCAGAAGTCCACATGGATAAATACAGGTAGTCCTCAACTTACAGCCACAAAAGAGCTGTAATTTTTGTTGCTAAAGTGAGAAATTTGTTAAGTGAATCCTTGCAGTTGTTAGTAACATGGTTAAGTGAATCTGGTTTCCCCATTGACTTTGCTTGTCAGAAGATCGGAAAAGGGGATTACCTGGGATACTGCTAGGTAATAAATATGAGTCAGTTGTGAAGCATCCAAATGTAAATCATGTGACCATGGGGATGCTACAACAGTCTTAAGTGAGAAAAATGGTCATAAGTTCCTTTTTTCTGTGCCATTGTAACTTTGAATGGTCACTAAATAAGCTGTTGTAAGTTGAGGATTATCTGTATATGGTGTGAAAATATCAGCTGCTGTTATTAGGCAAGATAGCAACTATCCTTATGTCCATTGAAGGCTTTGTAAGAGTGGTTAACTACTAAATTATATTAGTTTTTCTGATTTTAGAAGATTGTCCTAATTATTACCTTTATTGTCAGAGTACAACATGTGTACAGTGAGATTGGCTAAGCTTCTCTTCATGCACTCCCCCCAACACAACTCACAGTGAGGACAGAGGTCCCTAACCCAGTCCCAATCTTATTACGCTATGTGACCTTGTTTCAAAAGGCGCCAGCCCTGAAAGTCTATCATACTATGTTGACATGAAGTTATTTTCCATTCAGAAGTCTGACAGCCCACGGGTAGAAACTGTTATTCACCCTGTGGCGTGGCTGGCTATGCTTCTGTATCTCCTCCTAGTGCTGACCAGAGTGTGAGTCGTTCCTGAGAATTTTCCTCATTCTTCTAAGGCAGCGAGCCCTAGCGATGTCATCTAGTGATATCAGGGAACAGCCCATGATGCTTTGTGCTGTGCTCACTACCTTCTGTAATGTCTTTCTATCCCCGGCTATCAAGCCAGCATACCACACCATAATGCAATATGTGAGGACGCTTTATTGTGGACTGGTAAAAGGAAGTAATCAGTCATTCCACTTTATTCTTTCGCAAGACCCTAAGGAATGGAGTCTCTGTTGGGCCTTTCTGGCCACCTGGGTTGTGTTGATTTTCCAGGTAAGATCTTCGCTGAGGTAAATTCCCAGGAATTTAAAGGAGGAAACTCTCTCCACACAGCCCCCCCTCAATGTAAAGAGGGGTGGGTTTCTCTTCTTCTGGAAGTCTAACACCATCTCCTTTGTCTTGCTGATGTTTAGGTGCAGGTTGTTTTCTAACTCAAGATTTAAATCATAATTTTCCTTATAACATTCTTATGTAAAAAGAATTTGGTGAATTAATTATATAATTCTAAACACATTTCAGAAAGATCTGTGACAATTGACCATTGACTAAGTCAAGTTGCCATAGAGAACTTGCCTCAGCCAGTGCGCTGCAGGACAACTCACTGCAGGACAAGAGTTACACTAATGTTAAAGATAGTAGAATAGAATAATTAAAGGATGCAAAAGGAAGGGCGGAATGAAATTTGAATGGAAAAATTAAAATATTTTATTTATTTTAAATAATTAAATAGAATTGTTAAATTGTTCTGCAGTGAGTTTTCCCACTGTGTGTTGGCCATGGTGAGTTGTCCAGCAGCAAGGTGACCATGGCAAGTTGTTCCATTTTGTTCCAGAAAAGATAGGTTTTCGAAATCTGATAGTAGGAGAAAATCCAATTTGCTGTAACAAAGGTTATCTATGAGAATTACCCTTTTTTCTTCAGTGCAGATTCTTTTATACGTCTATCTGAATACTCTAGTGATCTTCAACCTGTGGTCTGCGGACCACTGGGAGGCCGCAGTGTTATCACGGGGGGATCTGCGAAGGCTTGAAGAAATGTTATGATTTAAATCTTGAGTTAAGTCTTGTGGGGGGAAGTCTGTGCCCATGGTCTATAGCCACAAAAGGTATTTAAAGAAGGTCCGTAGTGAAGAAATGTCCTGCTGTACTCCATTTTATTTCACATTTAAGTTGATTTTCTGTAGAACATGTTTCTTGGTAACACAGACAGCATTACTTCCTCTCTCAGACAAAATAAATTTGAGTGAGGACACCTGCTGTAGAGGATTTTTACTTTTATGACCTTGCCTGCAGAGAAGAGATGAGGGAGATGAGTACATCCAGAGGGCAAACTGCTGCCATCTTTGTTGTACACCAAAGGTTCCTGGTCTTGTAGTGCTTACTGAATCCTGGTAGTAAGTCACTGGAACTTATAAAGAGAAGGCTGATTTAAGGAATTGTTTCCTATGCATTTTCACTGTGCTTGACAATGAATATTTAGCCTAGGACAAAATAAATTTTATGAGATTCTGATTTTTCTGGGGAAAAAATTCTCAAAAATTGGTATTAATTTGGCTATAACTTTGCTATTGGGAACTGTTGTGTCCTGAGAACAGCTCCTGTTGTCAGTAAGTTTATTTTAAGTCACCTTCACAGCATTTTTTTTTCTATAGTGTCATAATTTTAAGTGCAATTCATTATAGGTGCCAGTACTGCTATTCTTTCCATTTCCAGTTGTCCTAGGGTGAAAAGAAGATAAATTGAAATGGGATGACTAATTTTGTCAATGAACCTTTGTAAGCAATAGTAGATTATAGCGGAGAGATGTGTTCTTTTGTTTGTGTGTTTGTTTCAAGACTATGTCATTCACTATCAGTATTGCTAAAGAGGATGATTTCTCAAGCAAGAAGTTTGTATGCCTTCATACATAAATATTGTCTTCATCCCTTAAATATTGGATGTTGCACTGTGCAGGTACTCTAAGAAACAAGCCTACTGTATTGGCTTCTCTGAATAATAATGGTTTTGTGTCTATTCATTCATGCAAATATATTAGCGCTGGTGACATGTTTTTCATGTTGAATATCTTTGCGTGCATTTTCAATATCTAGTAACACATTCAAGAGTGTCGGGGATTCATTTCATAGTTGTGGCCATATTTATGCTGATTCAAGTGTTAATATCAAATGGGGTGACATCAAGTCCTGTATATTCTATGTTATGAGCTGTTTCATTGTGCAAATCTTTCTGCTCCTTTCCAAGACTGAACAATTTGTCAGGCATATGTTTTTGGCTTATAAGAAGCAAATTTAAAATAGAAGTTTGGGATACTTGTAAACTCTCCTTGATTTGACATATACCACTTCTTTCATCAAAACATTTTATTTTCCCAGTGAAACGTGATGTTCAAGAGAATGATGACGAAGCGGTCCAGGTCAAAGAACAGAGCATTCTGGAACTTGGGAGTCTCTTGGCCAAGACAGGACAAGCAGAAGGTGAATCCTATGTTTAAAGCAATTTAATGGTCACATTACCAGCAGTTTTTCTAAAATTAACATAAATGCTAGAATAGGAGATTTTTCTCCTTTCCTTTCCTTGGTTTTCATCAAAACATCATACAGTTTAAAGATTCTTTCTTTCTTATCACCATTTCTCTATGTTAAATTATGATTTAATCATGGCTAGTTTCACACATTTCATAAAGCCATAAACTAAAAAGACTGCCTAGGTGCAAATAACAATTATGCAAAGTGACATTTCAATTACAGATGGAGAAAGACCCCATAGTAA